CCCACTGTAAATGACAAAAGCGGCCTCCTAGACAGGTGGCCGTCTTACAAAGTGTCATTATTTGTAACCCCAAAAAAATACGCAAGGGAGGGAACAGAAAGTCTCTGCTTGCACAAATGATTGTCTTAATTAATACATGTGGCCATTAGATCAGGTTCAACAGCATTATTAAGATTGACTAGTAATAGTAACTGTTTATGCGCCCTCGCCTTGACAGTATTCAGGTCATGTAAGATATGGGCTGCTTGCTGCAGCAGATCAGATAGACAGGAATACTCTGTTTTTACAAAAGAACTATTATATTTCTCTATCCCCTCACCACCCCACCCCCTTCTCCCAGCGTCCCCCTCTTGCTTCCCGAAACTTAAACTCTTCGGCTTACAGCAACACCACACACTCCAGAAAATTGACACTGTGGGCAGAGAACTAGAAGTGACAGTTTGTCATGGATCATATCAAACCAATCCGCCCAGTAGTAGTTTGCATCAATGATAATACCTGAGGTGTCTTTGCCCAAAAGTTGCCTATTGCACTTACAATTTTTTTTTTATTTCTTAAGTCATAGCATGGAATATAGAAATTGTCAACTTTAACCCTGCACCGGCAAATGTTGAGATGGTAACATTTTCCAAGACAAAATAACCAACACACAAACGTTGATATCTCCTTTTAGTTTTAGTAAGTGTTACGGTACTTGCAACACAATAAGGTCATATAGGCGCCGAAGATTAGAGGTGTTACAAGAGAGTAACAAACACAAAAGAAGGAGGGAAGATAAAGACGATGGATGTTTGATAGGAAAGAAGAAGCAAATCACACCTGAGCACCCACCAACCACCCACGTTGCTATCTCCTCACATCTTCACGTGAGCGGGAATAAGACCTCACCAAAAGGTTGAAGTATTGTCATGCAGGTGACCAATAAAACATCTCTATCTTTTGATTTCCAAACGATCTGATTAATATGATCCTTGGTTTTATGCCCTAGTTAAAAAAACGGGATCGATACATGGATCGATATCTGATTGATCGACGAAACTTCGATTATCTCTTGGGCTGCTCTTTGGGCCATTCATTTAATTGTTTCTTTCACTTTTTTGTGTTCGTATTCCAGTCTTTCCAAACCCGCTTGACAGGCATTGATCTCATGTTGTTGAGAATATCTAGGCAGGCCGTTTTCGCCTCGTCTTTCAATGACCCGAGTGGGAGCAGCTCGCTATGATCCCATCAGGACAATGCGTTCAATAACGTTCTCACGAAATTCCATAGAATAGGGAAGAGCTACTTTTCTGATCGTGGAACAACTACGACGGAGTCATGAAGAACAAAGAGCCGTGGATTGTTTTTGGGTTTTTTTTAACTTTTGTTTCTTTTAACTAGTCAGCGGCGGTGGATTAATCAAACTCATTTTCTTCTAATTAGAACAAAACAAATATATATATATGAATGAAAACGAATAATCAAAGAATAAGTCTTGTATCAACAAGAACTTCAAACTCACTAATATTGACAAATTATGTGATCACTTTGATCTATTCATTCCTTAGGCTATTTACTTTATCTTTTTTAAATTTTAACACGCCAAATATTTTCGCAGCCGCACAAAAACTGTATAATCTACAGGGGCGTATTCAGCCCATGGGATGCAGTTTGCCAATGGGAAAAAAACCTTCTAGCGACGAGGAAAGACTTCTCGGGAAGATCATTAGCGGTCACCACGTATATTGCACGCTCCGCTGGCAAGGACGCCTCCGTCTCTTGGAGAAAAAAATAAGGAGAATACTCAAAGAAATCTCCTTTTTGATTAATGTAGGAGTTTTTACGCCCAAATCAACACAATTTAGATCATTAAGGAGGCAGGCTTCCAACACGTCTATCAGGGCTAACTCGGGCTGTGAGGTATCTATGATATATAATACCCAAGCAGAAAGATAATGCCCCAGCAGAAAGACCGAGATACTCCATGAAAAGTCTTCCCTACATGAGAATCGTACTTGGGTCTCTTGCATGGGACGGCAGAGTGCCTTACCGCTACAAAACAAAAGCCGACAGGGCTCCTTCGCCTTGTGGAAAAATTAATGGTTTCTTACAAGATTATTTTACGAGGAAAAGAACCATTTATCTTCGTTCGCAGCCAACTTTGTCATCCAGTTTTTCAGCATCACAAAGTCCCCGTTAATTTCACTCCTTTTGAATCTACTTGCGTTAAATAAACATTACGGAATTGAAAGGTTTTAAGTTGGGTAAGCCCCCCCCCCCCGGGTGGGCGGTGCCAGTGAATGGAGCGTCTTTAGGTCATTCCCAAAAGGGGGACATTAACCTGTTCATACACAGTAGAATTGGCTGATTCATCAATGCCATGCTCATAACTGTGCCAGAACTGCAACAGGGAACTGCTGCTTTTTCTTTCTTAATCCTTACTATCGTCATTTTCTTCTACTTCTTTTGTATGTTTGTCACACTCTTGTGACCCTCTCTTTCCGGGGCGCCTTGATAGCGGAAGCAGACTCTGTGTTGTTGAAGCTGGAGAGGTTAACAGAGTCAGTCTGATTCCCAGTAAGGACTTCTCTATTGACATCCACCCCTTGGCCGTAAAATCTCTACTGAAACAAAGTTGGGTAAAGTCCTTCGAAAGGCTGAAAATAGAGACGAAGGGAGAAAAATAGTTGGCAGATCATCCTTGGGGCTCCAACTGTCATCTACAACTAATGGATAAATAGGCTGTGGGAGATGATATACAACGTCCCAGAAGATAAACAAAAAGTCTCGATATCAATTCTCCACATTTGGGAACCAAACTCGGGGCCCAGTGCATGACAGCAAAAGTCTAATTGCTATACCAGAGGCACCAGTAGAACTGCGTAGGAATAGACGTTGCATTCAACAAACATACCATTTGATTATAGGTAAGATGGACTGGTTGGGTTTTCGAAGGTCTCAATATGAGGGTAAACAACCGACCGATGTGATGTGCCAGCAGAACTGGGGAGCCATATTACTAAATGTGTCAACACGTGGTGAAATCAGGCGCTCGTCAATTTTTGGTCATAATGGAGTTATTGGTATCATCTTAAAGCCTGTTCATTTGCCTTGCTTTGAATGAAAACAATTCCTTCTTTCTAGGACAGATGAAGTCGAGATATTTGCTATTGAAGGAGGTGGGGTTCACCGGGTTCAGAGATAAAATTAGCGAGAAAAAGGCTGCAAAAGTTTAGTGACTTCTATAGTTTGAGAGTCATTGAAAATGAAAATTTAAATGTTTTTGTTCCTTTAATCAACTTTTTGGGATAAAATTCAAACAGAAATGTGTTTTTAAATGGACATAAAAGAAATTGAGTCAATAATAAAACAATTGATTAACATTGCCAAACCAGCAGAAAAATGCTGGTTTCTTCGATTTCAGGATTTTCACAAGCACATGATTTCACCACGATGCCTCACATATACAAGTGAAAATCCAAAACAAGGTGTTCAGAATGTTGGTTGCTTGATAGAGTTTTATTAAAGCTGTACGCCCTTTCAGTTCGGTCAAATCGGAGATGGACATTCCATTTAAATATTCTGCATCTTGCGGGGGCTCTCGTGGCATAGAGGTTAAGGTGTTGGCCTCTAATTCAAAAGGTCGCGGGTTCGAATCCGGGTAGCGACCGAAAAGATTTCTTCTCTAAAATTGTCTCCTTTCATCTCCTTTCCTGCTCTCAAGCAATGTTCTGTTGTCTGCTTTCATTTCCACTTTCTGCTCCAACCCCTTCACCTCCTATGCCCCCTCCTCTGGGCTCCTGACTCTTTCTGCAGCCTTTCTACTGCTACTCCTTACTGCTGTCTTTCTGCCACACCCCTGATCTTCTGGTAGGAAAGATCTAATACCTAGCCTTCCCGGAAAAGGCCGAACAATCTCGGAGGGCCCGTGTGCAAGTTGCGCACGTTAAAGATCCCTTGGTGGTTTAAAATCGATAAGAGTAGGCTTCGGCCGCCACCCGGGCAAAATTCAAAATTTCCTACCAACTAAAACGTTAGGTGTGTCCCGCGCGCTCATATGACCTTAAGCAGTTGCGGGCGCTGTAAAACACTTTACAAAAAAAAACAAAAACAAAAAACAAAAAACTTACTGTGTAAAAAGGGGCGTTAAACATTTTTTGAATTAATTTGAGTTGAAGCATTTCTTCCTTAATAAAACCGCTGGAGATATTTCTGCCGGGACACCCTACTGAGCTATCAAAAAACGCGGCAGCTAAAACTGTCCGGTTATCGAATTTTGAGACAATAGGCTTAAAACCTCACTGTAGTTAGCTGGGGATCTTCTCCTTGTGCTTCTTTTTCTTCTTCTTCTTCTTCTTCTTCTTCTTCTTCTTCTTCTTCTTCTTCTTCTTCAATAAAATTTTTTTTGTTTTTTCTGGATCATCGTTCGTTTCCCAGAGCCAGCCTATTAACTGACATTTTAAACAAAGTAAAGCATTGTTCATGACTAAATTGATCTCTCTCCTGAGATATCTGTTGTTTCTGTAATTGTAGGTCAGGTTTGTGTATCACAAGTAGAGAGAGCGAGAGAGAAAGAGAGAGAGAGAGAGAGAGAGAGAGAGAGAGAGTGAGAGAGAAAGCGAGAGAGAGAGAGAGAGAGAGAGAGAGAGAGAGAGAGATAACTCTTTGATGAATCTGCTAACGTTGAAGAATAAAAAGAAATGCTTACAGGGCACACACCCACATAATTACACGGACAAACACATATACGCACAGCATCACATCATTACCATCCCCCCGAAGACGTTTAAAAGCAAAGACAACAACAATGATAACAACAACAGCAAGAACAACGACGACAACATCATCAATTGCAGAAAGTATTTTTTTCATCGAGAAAAACAAAAACAAGAACAAAAACAAAAAAACGAAGAAAACAACAACAACAACAGCAACAACAACAACAGCAACAACAACAACAACAACAAAAACATCGACAACATCAACAATGGCAACGACGACGACAATAACAACAACACCAACAACAGCAGCAACAATGACACTTACCCCTTGTCGCACCCTTTCACCTGACTCTCAACAACAACAACAACAACAACAACAACAACAGCAACAACAACAACAACAACAACATCAACAACTCAGCAACCATCCCTAAGACGCACTCACCGATGGTCTCCACTTTGTAGACGTCATAGGTGTCTATGATGTCATCAAACATCCTGTACAGGTAATTGAGCATGTCTATCACCTGGATTGAGGAAAAACATGAGTACATGTTGTTCATTTTACGCATACATCGACACAATTCAGGGATACTCGATAAAAATTATTCTCCTAACATGGAATTAAAACTCGGGTCTGCTGAGCGCAACAGTGAAATGTTGAACTGTTACAAAACAATAGCTGCTTTGGTGGGAGAGAAATAAGCACAAAGTTATACATTTAATGTTATAATCTCTCACCTGTCATTCCTTCTTCACTCTCTCTCTCTCTCTCTCTCTCTCTCTCTCTCTCTCTCTCTCTCTCTCTCTCTCTCTCTCTCGATTTCTTTCTTTATATATACGTGCGTAGTATGTACAATATACAAAAAGCTTCAGTTGCGAAAACGACATAACTACATCTTTGTTTGGTTTAAGAAAACCCGAGCCTGTTTCTCTAACAACCGAAAAGTTGAAACTTGCTCACAACAAATTACGTCACTTGAGAGGTTTGCTAGCTCAAATCGATTTTGGATCCATTGACCTAAGTTCCGTTTTCATAAACATAACTGGGGCGCCGGTTCAAAGAACGTGTATGGCAATTCCGGTTGTTTTTTTTTTAACCTCTCACTTGTCGGTATGAACAACCTATTTCCATTAGCTTAGAGATTTGAATACACACACTGTTGAGTTTTTAATGATTGTTTGCTGTGGCAGTATACGGTACGTCATCTAAAAACGCGCTTTGCTTCTAGAATTTTAAAACAAGGTCATATTTTTTTTTAAAAATTTCTTCATGGGGCTACCGAAGACCTACTGGCTCCCTTTCATCAATGTCATCAAAATGCCTTGGTTTGAGAAGAACAAACGATGAGATTAGGACAAATTACAGCGGTATCATTTCAGCGTCACTGATTACTGTTACTTTCTCTATTTTTTCTTTATGCACTGATCACTATCGATTTTAGGTTGTTTTTCATGGAATTGTACTATATTATGGTGTTTTTCGCAAAATATGATGAAACTACACTAAACAAAAATATTATGTGTTCTCAAAATATCACTGGTGATCCCCATTTCATAATTTGAAACAAAACGGGCAGAATACAGGAGATCAAAATATGTTATACTTTACCCGATATTGTAAATAAATCAGTGAGGAAACTAGACGTAATATGAGCTGAACAGGTGCCCGTCACAGGAAAAAGTTATATATAAGAAGGCCGAAAACTACGTAGAAAATGAGTAAAGAAAATTCCGTGTGCCTTCAAAGATGGACAATCAAGAAAAACCATGCCCTGTTAGTGGGAAATTCTTCTAAAAATAAATGGTGCTTACAAATCGCAAGAAAAGTCATGAGACGTTTTAACCAATCTACCATATTATTATGTTTAGGCATCTCAGCACAACACTTTTAAAAAACCCGGAAAAAGGGGGGAAAAGCTGCTATATGCAATGAATTGAGGGGCTTAATTGTGATCATTACAAGTTGCTTGTGATTATTTCTTCTAGTACTTCTACTCTCTCTACAACGATGTTGGTAACCTGCTTCAGCTTGCAATTATTATTTCTCTTCCTCCTTAGGTCTTTTCTAGAAGGACGAACGGTGTTATTATCAAGATCGATCATCTCAGAGAGAAACGTCCCAAAAACATGATTTTAGCATTACCAAGAGAAAAGTAGTTTATTTTGTTAGAGTACAATCGCACCGTAAAAGCTGAACACTTTCGTTATGAAAGACGTGTTACCTCATCGAAACTTTCTCTCCCTACGTCTTTTTCTTTCGATTATACTCTCGAACTAACCCCAAACTTACCCATATCCGCAATTCTCTCTTTCTCTTTTTCTCTCTTTCACTCTCTCTCTCTCTCTTTGTCTCTCTCTCTCCCTCTCTCTCTCTTTCTCTCTCTCTCTCTCTCTCTCTCTCTCTCTCTCTCTCTCTCTTTCCCTTCCCCTCTTCTCCTTCTCCCTGCCCACCCCTTTCTCTCTCTCTCTTCTCTTCTCTCTCTCTCTATTCTCCCTTCTCTCTATCTTTTTCTATCTGTCTCTTTGTCTTTCTCTGTTTCTTTCTGTCTGCCTTTCTCTCTCTTTCTCTTTCCCTCTTTCTCTCTCTCTTTCTCTCTCTCACTCTCTCTCTCTCTCTCTCCTGATCTCTTTCTCTTTCTCTGTCATTCTCTCTCTTTCTCTTTCCCCCCCTCTCTCTCTCTCTCTCTCTCTCTCTCTCTCTCTCTTTCTTTCTCTCTCACTCTCTCTCTCTCTCTTAGAAGGCAAAAATGAAACTAGTAAGAACACTAAAACGTAATCAAATTTTGTTTCTAATTTGCTTAATATATGTCTTGTTAATGTCAATTTTAATCAAGGGACACCCCCCCCCCCCCCGCCTAATCCTCACTCCCAAATCTCCTGACAGTATTGGAAATTACGCCCGAGGTCTTACGTTAAATAGGAAGTACGAATCACTCAGCATGACAATAGAACTAATTAGTCCAAAAGCATCTCTGTTGATATTGAACATTTTATATTTCTGATTAACACCAGAACCACATTAACCCAACAAAGAACAAAGAATTTACCACACCGGAATAAGCATTAATGAAAAGAAAAAGAACAAAAAAAGAAAAGAAGAAATGAAGAACGAATGGTTCGGCCATACCGAGAGTATAGTGCAAGAATGTTACATATACAGATATATAGTCGCTAGTAAGGATTTCGGGGGTTTCCAGAAAACCTGACATACACCAAAAGTGGGCTGTGCCTTACATATAGGAGAAGTTTGGTTTTATTGGTGTGTACATTTGTTTGGTTATAAACAAAATTTTCCTTGTATTTTATAGAAACTGAACAAGGGTCCTAAAACTTTACCTTCGGTTTTCTCAAAACAGCATTTTCGGGATAGCCCCCTTGTGCTTGAACGCAACAATATAGTGTTTGAGAAAAAGGCAGTTGGAATTGCGCAATGATTTTAACCTCTTACATAATTCACATTTAATTTAGAGTGTGGGCTGCCTCGGCCCTGTCTGTTGTGACAAGTTCTGGGCGCGTTGTATGTTATTACACTCGAAATTGTCCCACACGGCCACCCATTGTCGAGAGAGAAGAGAAAGTTGTCTTCATAGAAAGGTGAGCGTCTTGGACGCTCGTTATGGTTTTAGACCAAACCAAAAAAAACACCGCAAGGAAGGGGGGGGGGAGAGTTTGAAGTTATTGTTTGTTACAGGTAATTGTCTTGAAGAGGTGGCTGTAAGAGCAGGTTCGACTGTAACAATGATAGTACATAACAAGATGGGCCACTTCTCTCTTTGAGCCAATTAAAAAAGTGTCCTCAAAATTTGGTGGCGCCCTCTTCACAAAAGCGCACTCTTTGCGAACAGAGTTACCCTACTTGAGTTTTAAAAAATCAAAGTGAAACTAGCAAGTTTTGGGATAAAGTTCGGAAGAACGCTTTTTTAAAATGGTTACGCTGACAAAAAACCTCCTCCGGAGGAAAGGGTGATGGTTTTCTTCGTTTAATTTGACTTTAGAATGAAAGGCGAGAGGTCATTAAAATAAAAAAAAACTAAAACTCCGCACTGAACGTACCCGAACTGCTGATGAACAGCAGTCGATCTGCGCACGCAAGGAGGTGCTATTCCTATTCTTCTTCTGGAAAAACGAAAGAGAGCTTCAAAACAGACTGCAGCGCCATCTGAAGCAAAGAGCATACTTCCTGCGGACACTTTTTTGGCTGAGTGGCCCATCTTGTTATTCACTATCTTTGACTGTAATAAGCATCTCAGCAGAACGACATCAAAGCTCGATATCATAAATGCAGGACTCGATCTTACATTTGGTGTGTGTGCAACGGTAAAAACTCCCTCAGCATTACGACTCAGATATGATTTGCAATGTTATGGAATGGGTTCAATACCCCATTCAGCAAAGTAAGTCTATCAGCATCTTTGGTGTAGCAATGAGGTGCATTGCTGCTGCACGTAGAAGACCTGAGTTCGATTCATTAGTGGCGAGGAATTTTTCTTTTATCGAATATCTCGGTCCTTCTTCAAGGAAACATCCCTTTCAATCCGGATTGACAATCGGAAGCCCGCCTCCTAAATGATCTAAATTGTGTCCGTGGGGGCGTAAAATCACATATATTTCTTTAAAAAATAGAAAGCCTACCAAATATACGGGACCTCTGAATTTAAAGTCTGTTTCCTATAGGACTGAGCGAGCAGATGGCAAACGCTTTGACTACTCAAACAAATCAAACTGCAAAAATGTCCTCTGGGAAATCGAACTAGGGTCATCCGCATCATAGCCAAGAATGATGTTAACTGAAGTAACGATACAGGATGACGGCAAGATAGACAGCCAGCTGTAGATGTACCTTGGTCTCTCACAGCCATTTTCATAACGTGATTTTGCCTTTCCTAATTTAGGAGTTTTACTCCCCCATTGACACAATTTAAACAATTTTGATGACGAGTTTTGATCCTACCTGTCAGGGTTTATCCGGGCTGGGAGGGATACAACATCCAAACAGAAATACCGAGATACTCGATAAAATTAATTCCTCGGTCTCTGGAATAGGGCTCGGGTCGCCTTCGTGAGACGTCGAAATGCCTAACCGGCAGAGCACAGTATATTTTAAATATTATGCTGAGGATATTCACAAACTTCCTAACTTTGTGCGAAAATGAATTGTTAAGTAGAATAAGTTTAACGCCCCGTGCAAAAATGAAAGGTTCTTTAAGGTGGGATCTTTAAATTTAAGGTCTATGTCCAGAAGGATCAAGCCAAATGGGAAATTCTCGTTGGAGCGAGCTGAGCCTCAAATACCCGACTCATAATCTCATGAACCAGAGTGCGATGGCAGAGCGGTTAGTGCGCTCGTCTCCGAAGCGGAAATTCCGGGTTCGAGCCTCGGTTCGCACACAGATCTTTTTCGCCCCCTCCTGCCCACCCAGCAGTAAAAGGGTACCTGCCTTCGAGTTGGGGAAGTAAAGG